TAAACCAATAATAACACTTGAAGAAGAAATGCAACTATGGGTGTGGTGTTGCATTTTTGGGGGGCAGAGGAGGTTTTATTGTTGTTCTTTTTTTAAGTTGAAGGATTTTCTTATTTTGACTAGCATCTTCCGAAGAAGCATCGTGTGAACATGGGCTTGGAGGACCAGCTGCTAGACGGGAGACCCAGTTTGTTCCAGAGACTGTCCTGAGTGAGGAAGAGTGTAAGGAAGCCATCGCACTGATGAAGCATTCAGTCGATGAGGACACAATCAAGAAGAAGATGAAGCTCACATTTGATTTCCGGCGCAACATGGTCCTCGACCCCCAACAGTCAAACAACATACTCTCCGTCTTTCCACGTTTCAAAGATGTCAAAGGCTTGGTAATTATTTAAATGGTGATTTTGATAATTTCACAGTTACGTAATTTTTTTTATTTTTGTGACAAGTCAAAATGAAAACAATTAATGTGGTTGGGAAATGTTTGTTTTTTACTATCTACATCCTAGGTGGAGCAGGATTTTGTCCTGATGTTTGGAGATGATGTGTCTGGCAAGTTTCTGGAGAAATGGACAACCACGTTCAAGAAAAAGATCATCCAACAATGCAGAAAGCTTCCAACCACCAGTGACCTTGAAGAACTTCTCCTGGCAGCTGATACTCCTGAGGATGGCACTGAAGTGGATGATGACATGAGTAAGGATGACTTTCCACATTATGTAGGATTCAGTTATTGTGTGAGCTTCACTTACTGATGTACACATAATTTAAATTACATAATCACTAGATTTTGATGGTCAATTCAACATCAAATTTCTCTTATCACAGGTTGGGACAGTGACTTCTCATCGATTTTGCTGCTGCTACACCTGATTCCCCCCTCTGCCTTGGGTCGGAAGAGACCAGGGAAGGTGTCTGCCTCCCAAGCAGAGAAGCATCTTGTGGTCTTCAAGAAGGTTTGTATTTGTTGCAAATTTTATTTTATATTTTACTCAAGGTTGTGTCACTGGGAGAGTTTCAGTTTTAGGGTGATATCACCCTGGGAAAATGCTGTTTTCCCATATGAAAGCTGTTTTTTGTGTAGCATTGCAGCTATGAAATTGTAATTGTACTGTGTGTTCCCCCTCCAGACTCCCCTCACAGACGGGAACCAACATCCAAGAACATCTTGATGCCATCATGACGAGCACACAACCCTATCTCCTGGCTGTAGGACGGAGGAAGAAAGTAGCCCACCAGTTCTTCATCATCCTTGACAAAAATGCCATTGCTTGCAGGTCAACCTCCTCTCTTGGTGCTTTTGACGAACTGTTTAAGG